CGGCTGGCCCAGGCCCAGCAGAAGATTCGGGAACTGGCCATCAACATCCGCATGAAGGAGGAGCTCATTGGCGAGCTGGTCCGCACAGGTGAGGAGCCCAGCGCGGTGGCCTCCCGCAGACGGTGGTTAGGGGCCAGGGCCAGATGACTAGGTTTTTGATACCCAGCTGTGTGACCTTGAGCAGGTAGAACAACCTCTCTGTGCCTCGGTTTCCTCATTCCTAAAACGGGGATAGTAATCTATTGATGAGGTCATATGATTTCTACCCTTTCTTTTGTTGGTGTGGTGTGTTTCACTGATCGATTTGCCCATGTTGAAACATCCCTGTGCCCCTGGAAGGGGCCCCACTCGATCGTGACGTATTATTTTTTTGACGGACTGCTGGATGTGACTTGCTGGTATTTCGTTTAGGATTTTCATATCTGTAGTCATCAGAGATATTGGTCTGGAGTTTCCTGTGTGTTCTCCTCGCCGGGTTTGGAATCAGGGTTATGGTGGCCTCATAAAGTGTGTTAGGAAGCGTCGCCCCTCCTTCAGTTTTTTGGAGGAGTTTAGGAAGGACAGGTTTTTAATCTCGGAACGTTTGGCGGAATTCACTGGTGAAGCCATCGGAATCGAGTGGATTGTCCTCGTTGGGGACAGCGGCCTGTGCTGACGAGGGGGACCCCCTTTCTCCAGGGAAGGCAGCCCAGGCCCTGAATCGGCAGCACAGCCAGCGCATCCGGGAGCTGGAGCAGGAGGCCGAGCGCGTGCGGGCCGAGCTGAGCGAGGGCCAGAGGCAGCTGCGGGAACTCGAGGGCAGGGAGCCCCAGGATGCGGGGGAGCGGTCCCAGCTGCAGGAGTTCCGCAGGAGGGTGGCCGCCGCCCAGAGCCAGGTGCAGGTCCGTGTCGGGACCCCGGGGCCGCAGCTGTGGCCACCCAAGCGGGGGCTCTAGGGACGAGCTCGCTGTGGCCCAGGCGGGGAGGGGAGGCCCGTGCTGCTGAAGCCCCCTAGGAGCCCACAGGGAGGGGAGGGGTGGGCAGGGAAAGCACATCGACCCTTCCCCACGCAGCCTCCCTGACCTCACCCATCCGTCTGTCCTTCCAACGCCCATTCACTTTCCTCTCCGCCCATCTTCCCTCCGTCTGCCTCCCGGTCAGCCTGTGTCCCTCTAATCCATCCAGCTGTGACCAGCTGTCCGTTCGTCCGTCTGGCCCCCTTTATCGACCCGCGCGTCACCTGTGCACCCTGCTCTTTATTTTTCCACAATCCCATCCCCTTTTCTGTCCACCCACCCTGTCTGTCCGTCCCATCTCTGCCACTGTCCATCCACCATTCCTTCCTTCCTTCCTCGCTCAGGTCAGGCGTCCAGGACACAAGACAGTCGAGCGGGGAAGGGCACGGGCTCTGGGCCCGGACTGTTTGGGTTTGAATCCCAGCTCTGCCATTTGCTAGCTGTGTGTCCTCGGTCAAGTTTCCTAACCTCTCTGTGCCGCGGTTTCACCTGTTAACCGGGGCTGAGAGTCGTCATCCTTTCCGCTAGGACTGTTGGGGTCATTGAACATTCGCAGAGCACCTGGTGTGGAGCCTGGTATGCAGCAGATGGCAGGGTAGCAGTCCCATTAGCATCCTGATGTTGTTTTTTTTTTAATGTTTTTATTGATTTTAGAGAGAGAAGGAGGGAGAGGAAGAGAGAGAGAGAAAGGGGGGGAGGGATAGAAACGTGGACCAGCTGCCTCCCGCGCGCGCGCCCCCTGCTGGGGATCGAGGAGCCTGCACCCCGGGCCTGTGCCCTGGCCGGGAATCGAACCGGCGACCTCCTGGTTCCTAGGTCGACCCTCAACCACTGAGCCACACGGGCCGGGCCCTCCTGATGTTTCTATTGGTCCCTGGACCGTGGGCCCAGCGGGGGCTGTGCCGTCGCAGGTGCTGAAGGAGAAGCAGCAGGCGACCGAGCGGCTGGCGGCGCTGGCGGCGCAGAGCGAGAAGCGGCTGCGGGAGCTGGAGCGGAACGTGCAGGTGATGCGCCAGCAGCAGGCGCAGCTGCAGAGGCGGCTTCGCGAGGAGACGGAGCAGAAGCGGCGCCTGGAGACCGAGATGAGCAAGAGGCAGCACCGCGTCAAGGTCGGGCCCCGGCCGGCCGGGCAGCCCTGCGCCCCCGCGGACCGTCCCCAGCAGCCCCTTGGCCTCCCCGAGTGTTTCTCGCCTGTAGATGAGGGTTGTTATAGCAGCGCCAAGGCCAGAGCCGGGAACCCGATAAGGGGACGGGCACCGCCTCCTGTAGGAGCCGGATCGGTGTTTGCTTCCCGTCGCTGGTCCCCAGCGCGACGC